GGGGGGGGAGGGCAGGGCAGACACGTGTGCCGCCGGCGGATCGATCGGTGGGGGTGATGGTGTGCCCAGGCTGGAGGTTTGGGGAGTTCGGGCCTCTGCTCCGGTGATGGCGTTGCTGCTCCGGTGTGTGCTCCTCGGCCTGCTGCCTGTATTTTCAGTTGTGTTAACTTGCCCTGGCGTTTTCCCTTTTCCGTGCTCATGGGATACCCCCAGGGGGGGAAGAGAGCTCTCTGCGTGTGGAAAGTTCCTTGTGTAAACTAGGGAAAAAATGACTAGTTTCTTACAGGTGCTGGTCACCTCCAACAGTTTTGAATAAATCTATGAAGTTACTGATGGAAGTGGTGGTCACTGTGAGCGGTCTGCCCTTTCGTGTAGTTGCATTGAGGGTTTGGTGGGGTTTGCCTCTGCTAAAGACAAGCTTGACTCTGTTGCAGCATGGAATAACTTAACTCTGTGTTTTAATTTAGGTCTCCTTGATGATGTCTGTTTCCCTTTTCTCTTTTTACTAATGTTCAGGGAGTTACGGATGTCCTGTGTGAAGCTTGTGACCAGTTAGGATGGAAGGTGCCAACAAAGATCCAAGTTGAAGCTATTCCAATGGCTCTCCAAGGTGAGCAGTGTGGTTCTCTGATCCCGAATCTTGGGATGCCCAAGAATGAATTTAGCAGAGTGAGAAGTGGCATGGATAAGAGGGTTCTCACTTCTTTATCACTGAAGATCTCAGTCTAGAAATAGTCTAGAAAAAGTCTCTGGGTTCATTGTTGTGTCCTTCACAAGTGGAACTTGGAATACTAATTTCTTCTATAACATTGCCTGCAATTGCAAACTTTCAGATGGGTACAAATGTGGGGTTTTGAGTGTTCACTACTGTTGGATAGTTAAATAGACACTCCATGTTAAATAGAATTGTTGTCAGTCATTTGAGCTGCTTCTTTCTGAAATACTCAAGAATACACAGGAAACTTCTGATAGATTTAAGACTGTGCCTCTTCTGGTAGAGACTTACAGAGCGTGTCTGAAATTGGAGATGCCTTGACTGATAACAAAGCTTGTGTAATCTACTTTGCTGTGAGCAGATAATTCTCAGAAATTAGATTTTTGGAGTGGCTAATAACCAAACCACAGTGACTGTCTGTAAACATCCTGGATAAATTACTGAATTCAGTGAATATTTCTGCCTCTAAAATATTTGGTTGTTGTTAAAAAAACAAACAAACAAACCAAAACACCTTGAAACAGGAGCAGAACAATATAGTGACAGAATGGGAATAAACTTTCAGTGTCTCCTCTGCCCTAGTACTTGACTATTGTCAGACACTCTTACTCCACATACAAGATTCTATTGGGAAAAAAAAAAAAAACCAAACAGAAACCAAAACAAAAGTAAGATTGCATTCCTGAGAAGTTGTCTGCAGCTTAAGGCCTGTTGGCAGCACGTTCTCAGCTGTAGGAATTTAGGAGGTCAGAATGGATTCTACTGATGGAATAGTTGCTTGCACTGTTTTTGGGCAAAGGACTTGCGGTCCTAACCCTTTGTGCTGCAAACTGATTTAGATTACTTTCTTAATAAATGGCACAAAATTGATTGTGGCTTGTGAAATGTGAGTTTGTTGGTGCTGTTGTCTTGTAGTTGGCATGACCTAAGGCTCAACCACTGGAGCCTTACTTCCTTGTAAGCCAGTAAACAGACAACAGTTAGTCTAGAGTAGTTATCCAGGTAGAAACAATAGGCTGTAAATTGACAGACAGATTTGAGAAATAATAAAGTAAAGCTTTTTTTGAACCTGAAGTTTGTATGAAAACCTGTATATTGGCAGAAGTTTAACTAGAGAATGGAAATGGTCAAGACTGTAATTATTGTACAAATGAAGTCACACTCTAAACATGCTGCAGAGATGTTCTGAAATTCTTTGTTTTGATCCTTTGTTCTCCTTCCTTGGTGTGTCTCCTTTTTTTCCTACCCTTAGCGAATTCTTATGCTTTATTGCACAGTGCTTTAAAGACTTCTTTCGCTGGTCTAGATTTGTAACCGTTTTTGCCCTTCTTGTAGGCAGAGATATCATCGGGCTGGCAGAAACTGGCTCTGGAAAAACAGGAGCCTTTGCTTTGCCAATTCTTCAAGCACTGCTGGAAACACCTCAGCGATTATTTGCTCTTGTCCTCACACCAACAAGGGAGCTGGCCTTCCAAATCTCAGAGCAGTTTGAAGCTCTTGGATCCTCCATCGGTGTCCACAGTAGTAAGTAGCTTTGTGGTATTGGAGCAGTCTTCCTGAAGACTGAAGTTTGTCAGCTCTAGATTGCAAAGGAAAAAGTAGAGAGTATTTGTATGGAGGGTTGAACAAAAGATGAGAAAAGCTTGTGATACTGGAAGACAGAGATCTGGTATCGAGTATCCTCAAGCCAAGACAGAAAGAAAGACTGTATGGTCTTTCCTCATGGAGTAGTCTGCAGCTCTTCTGCATTGTATGTCCAAACAGTTAAATGGAAGTAGAAGAGAAACTTCTCAATAGTGACTTTGTGTCCAGTGAAATTGAATAGAGCTTCACTCTATATAGTGTGATGTAGTTTAATCTTTCCATCAGACTGTCTGTATTGGTTCTTTAGATATTCTCTACAAACATAAAAGCTTTGTGGGCATTTTTAGAATTCCTAGATTTTTGCAACTGAGTTAAGCTGCAAAGAATAGATTCTGTTTGTTTTCACAGCTGAAGAGCTACAAAATACCTGGGCCCAGTAAGGACTTAATTGTTTTGCTTATAAGGCCTGGGAAGGTCAGGTGTGCTAAAGTAAAGTGAGTTTTTATAAGGATAAGTAGCCTTTCATTTGTACAGAGTTGTGGGTGGCAGGGAGTAGGAGGAAACATTAGGGTGCCAGGGGCTGGCTGGTGCTACACTGAGAGATTCATTATATTCTGTTTGTCATGCAGCGGTTATTGTGGGTGGAATTGACACGATGTCTCAATCTCTGGCCTTAGCCAAGAAACCACATGTTATAATTGGTAAGTGAATGTGTTGGGGGTTCGGGGTATGAATATTACCAAACTGCAGTTGTCCAAGGAAAGAGT